GCCTCTGTCGCCCCGACCTCATCCGACGCATCCTTCGGTCTTGGATCTCCGACCCTAAGTCACCCAAATCCAAGTGCTTCTTCACCCGGATCCTCTTCCACTACGCCTCCTCCGGCCTCCTCGACGACGTCATCCGCCTCTTCCACCAAATCCCCAACCCCATCCAGCTCTCCTTCTGCACCCTCCTCACCGCCCTCCTCAATGACAGGAAATACGACCTCGCCATCGAGAAGTTCGAAGCCCTGTCCAAGTCCACTGGAATTGAGCCCGACCTCATCGCTTACAGCCTTTATCTTAAGGCATTGTGCTTTAAAGGGGACACGGAAACTGTTTGCAAGGTGCTCAATGAATTAGTCGAATCGAAAGGGTTAACTCCAGACATCATTTGCTACAATGCGGTCTTGTATGGGTACATGAAGAGTGGAGATGGTGATGAGTTCGCTGGTGAGGGGAGGGGGCAGCGCGATCTGTTTAAGGGGAGTGGGTCACGGGTGATTACCAAATGGACAAGACTACTAGTCCTGTCCATTTGGTTTGGCATGGCATGCTAATCTTAGATTAGCATGCCTTAACTACACGGGACTAGTAGTCATGTGTAGTTCGAAAACTTACTCGTAACAAAATCGACCCTTTTCATCTCAAGTTAAGATGAAAATGATCAATTTTGTTGTTTTTTTGTGAAAATGTCAAATTTGCTCATTAATTATGAAATAGGGTTGTTTTCAAAAATTTATCCTTTTTATTATAAAATTATATGGTTTAACACTCATTTCACTTATGTAACATTCCTCTTTTTTTATACTATTCTAAAAATAAGAAAAATATAGGAAAAAGTCAGTGTTTCCAATTAATAGTAGCAATGAATTTCTACAACTAATTTTGTAACTATCAAATTATGTCAAGGTTTAACACTCATTTCTCTTATGTAACATTCCTCTTTTTTATACTATTCTAAAAATAAGAAAAATATAAGAAAAAGTCAGTGTTTCCAATTAATAGTAGCAATGAATTTCTACAACTAATTTTGTAACTGTCAAATTATGTCAAGGTTCATGCTAAAAAAAAGAGAAGAGATTAACAAAAGAAACTACTTGATAGAGGTTTGGTTGCTTCCTCCCACGTTTGCATTCTAGCGTAATTATAGGAAGATAATATTAGGTCTAATTTGAATCATTAATTAAAACTTCCTAAAATTATGCTTTGCAGATCTTGAAAATTGAAGCTGTAAAATCTCACCATGTGTTGTTGAATCCATGAACATAGTTATTTAATTTGATCAAAACTGATGAAAATACTTTAGAACAATTAGCAGATTATAGTGATTGATTGCCAATCATGCTAACTTCAGCATGAGGCAACATGTTAGCTAGGAGAAAGCTTGAAGAAGGGATTAAATTTCCAAAATGAAAGTGAAACTCCTGCCGACTTGATTTTATGAGGAAGCCTTTGTGGTTCAATTTGCGAGATCCGCAAGATATATAATTACGGAACGATTTAATTAGTGATTAAAATCAATCCAAGAATTATATATTAAGTGACTAATCAATTAATATGTATGTTCCTATAATTGCAGCATAAACCAAATACATGGAGAAGCAAGGAACTAAACCTCGTTAAGTAGTTTTTTTATTAATCTTTGGGAACAAATATTGAGACAATCCCACATTTACAAAATTTCTCCTTATATATAATCTCATGGTTATGAAGGAACACATATCAAGTTTTTTAATACTAAGTACTTGATTATTAGAATTTTATAATTATGGATTGTTTATGTTTGATGAAGATTCTTAGGTAAATATACTTACAGGACAAGGATACGTGTTAGTTTTTGAGATGGGAGGCTTGAATAACAAATCACCAATTTGTATATATAAATGAGGACTATGATTATGAGAGTTTTTAGCTATGGATATTTATAATTTGATTAGGATTATTAAATATTTAATTACTAGAATTTTCTAATTATGGAGAGTTTTAACTTGATGAGAATTTTTGGATGAAGATAAATTAGATGTCCACATGTCAACTTTCGCTAGGATAGAGAGACACATGGCTATATTATAATATAAAAATATGGTGGTTTTTCATACCTTTGGGACTTAGGAGTACCACCAGTATCACCAATTTCTCTTTATATGAAAAGGAGGGATAATATTACTTTTCAGTGATTTACTAAAATTGTATTATTGGTAATTAGAGTTGAAAAAATTATTAAAAATGTTAGATGTCAGAATGTGTGCATGTTCATGTCTATGTTAGTGTCAGAATGTGATACCCATGTCCGTGCACATGAACCATAGGTTAACCTATGAAGCCAAGACCAAATCCATCCAAAATTTACTTTCCAATTCATTGCAAAGGATTAAAGTCTTACCTACTCTCACAAAATTTGTCCTTTACTCACGTTCATCATTGAAGCCTTGATTGACTAACTCTAGTGCTTTAGCTTTTGCTATCTTCAATGTCTCACCAAGATTATATTTGTCAAAGAGCTAAGTGTAGGTTTGTTACAGAATTAACGTTACTTCGGGTAAATAAATGTGTATGGAAGGATGTGGGTATATGGAGTGTGTCAGTGTGTATATGTCTGTGCCTTCTTGTGGTTTTTGTATAATTATCATGTCCACATTTCGTGTCTATGTTCAGACTCCAAATTTCATGCCTATGTTAGGTGTCAGAGTGTAATACTCATGTCCATGCTTGAGAAGCATGGGCTGATGTATTAAACCAAAAAACCAATTTAACAGATTTTAGTTCACACTTCACAGTTCATTGCAACTTATCAAAGTCTTACCTACTTCACAAAATTTCTTTTAGGCTCACCATTGAACCTAGTTTGATTAACTCTAATGTTTAGTTTTTGTTGTCTTCGAGGTCACCATGATTATCTTTGTCAACACTAAGTGCCAAATGTGAAGTACTTAAGACTTTGATTATCATTGCAACTAATCAAAGTCTTACCTACTTCACAAAATCAAAGTCTTACCTACTTCACAAAATCTGTCTTTTACCCACGTTCACCACTGAACCCTTGTTTATAATTGAATTTACAATATTTTAGGTTAATTATTTGAAGTCCAAAAAGAAGAAAATATAATGTTATAGACCCTAAAAGATTAAGGAAAAATAATAATATGACACAAAAGCCAACCGAATGAAACCCTACTTTGGACTTACCGAAACAAAATCCAAACTTTTCCATAAATGGAAAGCAACAAATATTAGATAATTATAGCATCAAATATAAATAGATGATACATTACCAAATCCATCTGGATCTTTGGTGATGAACCTAATCAAGTGTTCGGTAGTTGCCAAATTTGCATCACTAAAGTAGTACTCTACCTGTAGTTTGAAAATGAAAGAACATTGTGAAAATGCAAATATTGTGAAAAAAGAACAGGAAAAAGTAAAGCACACGTACGAGTGAGAAAATGAGCAAGGCAAATAGGTTAGTTGTAATTCCGGAAAAGATTTAACTATTTATACTATTTTACGATTTTATACCACATACATGTAATTCCAAAAGTTACATGCCACCATTTCTTCAAAACTCATGAGTGTCTCAAGAACGACTTAGAACAGAACGTAGACACGATGACCTCTAAGAGGTTTACAAGGCTTTTTCCTATTATAAGGGATCAGCTTTGTGTACAATCAAATTTCAAATATGATAGCTTTTATGTAATACTTTTACATAGAAACAACTAGAACTATAAATTTAGCAAAAGTTCAATTACTTAACATTTACTTCAATATGAAAGCATATGACATTTTTTTTAATATAATAATATTACAAAACCATGAAAGGCAGTGTAATGCAAGGGTTATCACAATTTTACCAATTAGTAGATTTCATTTTATTTTTCCCTTTCATAATCCAAAGTCACACCTTTATGTAGAAACTCGCAATCTTAACCTACCTATACATATATAGTAGTGAATTAACCTTTAAACCCATTTAGCTAATAAATTATTTGGCCCCATAATCACTCAGGTGATACTATTTCTATACAGGGAGATCACTCAGATGTTACTTCTCCTACACAGGGAGAAGAGAATGCTTAAAGGGATAAAAGAAGAAGGCAACGCCCACCTGTTTGGTGATCTTCTGAATGACGTCTTCAGACAATCCTTCTCTTGCGGGACCCGGTCGCGCCGGAGCTTGATCCACATCCTCCTCATGACACTCCTGATTATGATGATGCTGATGATATATCCCATGATTCGTTGATGGAACAACAAACTGCGGGCTCATGGACGGAGGATGCGGAGGAGGATGATGATAGACCACGTGAACCACAGGAGACTTGTGCTGATGATTATGATGATGTTTGACTCGCTGAGCTCCTTGGTTTGCCAGCAAGGGCGCTCGCGGCACAAACTCGGGAGCACAGGCGTTGAGGCGGCTTAAGTAGACGTTTCGAGAGAGCAAAGGATCGTCGGTCAAGGATTCTGCCCGCAAGCAATCGGTGATCCGATCTTCGGCAATATCTAGGGTCTGGGGATCTCTGAATTGCTGCGCCATCGAAAGATAGAGATATAGAGAGAGGATTTTTTATTTGCTAGTTTATCTAGTTCTAGGGTTTTAAAATGGTCGGGTTGTTTTCCTGATTTTTGATTGATCGACCGATGAGAAGCCCGCTAGAGCGGAGAACGATGAGGGAGGAAATTCTCGAGAAGTTTGAGGGAGTCGTGGGAGGGGAAGTATAGACGCCGTTCAGGAGTACTACGGGTCGGTTCGGGTCTTCGGATCTTGTAAGATCTATATACCAATTACATGTTAGGGGGACCGGGGATTGCATAATTTGGGGATCTAGGGGCGGTTGTCCAATGGCATGTTCGGCTAATACTTTTTTTAAAAAACATTATAAGTTACTTGTCACTCTTATTTTATTAGAGGTTAAAGTAGTCTTTTATTATCAATAAGTAAATTAGTTTATAATTGTCAAAAAAAGTTGGGAAATCCCAACTTATCTATTTTTTTAATTATAAGTTAAAACAAGTATATAAGGAAACTTTACCAAACATGATTTTGGTACTTATAAGTAAAAACTCACTTATAAATTAAAATAAGTAGATTGTCAAACATGCTCTAAGTATATTATGCTACGTACTAATTTTAGACTTTGGGGTAAAGAATTTGTATGTGGCCGATGTTAGACCCTAGAGGGGGGGTGATTAGGGTCTTATGCTAATCTAATCCGATTTAAATGCCAATTAAAATATATTAACAAGTTATCCTAGCAAGTATAAAATACAACAATGTATATGAGCTAGGATAAGCAATATGAACAACAAGATATATCCTAACAAAGAGATATAGGCAATGTATGTGCAAGGATATATAAACTCAAGGGTAAACAATCTAAACAAGATAGTGGATGATATAGATAATGAGCTAATGACAATGGCGATATAAGGTATGAACATAAATATGAATGAACGCCAAAGCACACTCAAACAAGCAATATGATCACGGAGTTCGGACCTTCCGTCCTACGTCTCCGCTCCCCACTCCCGGGGAGAAATCCACTAACACAATCCGGTTTGGAAGTCGAAACTTCTTCTACACACTCGGTTTTCTAGCTAACCGAAAACTCTACAACTCACACTCTTGCAATCACACTCTACACCCACTAAGTGTTGGACCTAGCTGTGTCTCCCTCAAGTGCTCGGTTACAATCTCTCCCTAGGCACGTCAACCGACGCCACTCCTCTTGGGACGATCCCCGACTCTCACCACACACTCCTCACTCGGTGTACAAGTGTATTACAAAGTGAATCTCTCAATAAGCACAATATAACAAATAATTGTTCTCAACTATGGATGAGAACTCAATTAAGCACAACTCAAAGTTACAATCTCTCCCCCCCCAACTATACTATGTATGAAAGATACAATAAGCTCAATGTGGGTGTGTGTAACAATGAGTAAAATAAAATCTAACTCAAATAGCAAACTAGCAATAGTAAGAATATGAAAATCAATAACGAAATTGCTAGGGAAAAGAGTTAGAAAACTTCTCTATAAACACAAAGAAGAGGATGAAGAGGATTGAGAATGAATCTCTCAATCTGCAATGAAAACTTCCTCCTTTGTAAACATAAACCCAATCTTTTAAACAAACAGTAAAACCCTAAACCCTTGTTTAAAAACTTTGTTTAAAACACTTCTTGATTACTTGAAAAGAGATCAGCAATTGGGTATTTATACCCTCTCAAAACTCAGCCAAAACTCCCAAAACAAAAGACCAAAAACACCCCAGCTTTAAAACACTGTTTAAAAATATCAAATAAATTCCAAAAAATGTAAAACTTTGGGGAATGATTGTAGACATGATAATAAACATGCTACAGCTACTGGTTATCAGAAAGGACCTCCCAAATGAAAAATATCATCATTTTACAAAATAGTCCAAAACATGAAAATATGAGATACTTGAATTTTGATGTTTTGACATAAACCAACTTTTGAAACTTTGTAAAATGTTTTTATAGACTTAGTAAAACATGTATAAACTGATATTGAAGTCTATAAACTAATAAGACAATATTTTCACAAAATTACATATTCTATGTAATAAGTACTAAAAACACAATAGAGTATGTAATATCATAAAAACCAAAACACATGTATGTATATATATAAACTATATATATACTATGAAACCAATAGATGTGTGTGTATAGATAATTGAGCTTATCGTACTTAACACACATAATATAAATCCTAAACTAAATTACCCAAGCTTGATCTTGATCTTCATTGAGCTCAACTTGGTACACGTTGCGGATGAAGCTAAACTTGGATCTTGAACTTGAATTGTACGATGCTTCACTCCACAATTCCGCCAACCTCCTCTTGATATGATCGTTGAAGCTCTATTCCATCCATCCTCCAACTACGTTGTTTGTCTACAAAACATAGGAATGCACAAACACTAGACAAACAACATTAGTAATAAATTGTTTGTTAAACATCATCAAAACAAGAAGGCCAACAGCCGACACAATTTTACTCAAGTGGAATAATTTTTACTTCAATGCGTAATAGCAAAAAATTAAAGTTTCAAAATTATCACATATTTATCTCCGAGATGTTGCAATGAATAACCCCTCTAAGAGTTCAAATTCATGACCGTAACAACCAACTTCATAAGGAACAATTACACTTATTTATAAAAGAAACTTAATGTCAACTTCACAACTGCTACGAAAAAGTTTCATAAGTAAATAAAATATCAAGTAATTATCTAACTGAAAGGACAAAACAAAAATATCCTAATTATTTATTCAAATTTAATCGAATTGTACTAGGAGATTGTTGCCTTGCATTGATGAAGTTGGTCAATGAAAATTTCGAGTTTTAAGAAAACTCTCTGAGTGTATGCGAAGTGCTAGATGAGGTATGTGATTTTACCTAACCTACGGCCAAAATTTATTTGTACTTTTTATTTTCTTTGTTCAATCATATCTTCCACAAGATTCCCCCCCATAAAAGCTTTACCTCTCAATTCCACAATACAAAGCTAAACACATTAGGGAAAATATATGTTTTTCAGTTTTTCTTGTGGTTACTATTCACGTGAACAGATACTATTCACGTGAACAGTATGTCGCCTCATGCCCTCAACACCAGTCTCTGTGTTATTCTCAATCAGCACCTTCGATGATCCGATGCGGCAATGCCTTCTATTAGTCTTTTCAAGTCCTCATTGACCTCAAATGATTAGTGCTGAAACTTTTTAGATTGGAGCACTTAATCCATTCTGTAATCAATAATCACAAGTGAGATCAGAAAATGTAGAAGCATATTAAGCTAGTCACCCATAAGTGATTAGTGTAGAAATTTTTGATAAGGAAGTTATCATATTCTCACATTAATCGCTTTGCAATTTCTAGTGACAACTTCCCCTACCCTTACCTTCTTCGTAAGGAGATGCCTCATTTTCCATTCAACAGACAAATTTAGACAAAAGTGCTGGACAATTAGTGGGAAATGACAAAAATGACTAAGGAATTTAACAACTTTCCTGACTCTAAATCATTGAAGCGGTTGCATGTCCTCGAATGCCTTCTTTAAAGTGCTCTTCGACAGCTCCGGTGCAAGGATCTCATGCACTAACTACTTTCAAAAACAGCAAAGAGACAGGTACTCAACAGCTTATAAGATAGGAAACAATCTAGATGACAATCCAATAAAATCCCTCAACTTAGGGGAAATATGACGAGGGTTCAACCAAGTTATGCAATAAATTAACATGGATTTTCTTTAGAATAAAAATTCATAATTAAGATATATCTCATAAAAAGTCCATACTTTTGCGCCTAAACCTAATAGCCCGATCCACGACCCACGACCTATGACCCACTGTCCAAGGCCTAATGTCTAAGGCCCAAGTTTAACTTTATGAAGGATTAGTTGATTTAAATTATTCATTAGGCTATGTTTAAAACTTTCACCTTTAATAATAAACAAATTCAATAAAAAAACATAGAAAAACTCAAGGAAAAGATAAATGAGTGTAGAAGCTTATAAGAGAAGATAAGGTTCTCTCCACTTTTCTTTTAGGGACTATTTGGTTGCCTCAATTCTTGAGGATCTAGGGATCGTTTGTCATAAAATAGGCACCACAACTAAATTTTTTCTCAAAATTGATGTGCTTCACCAGATGTGTATTGTTAACCTAGCAAGTGACACTCAGATTTTGACTTCTGATTATGGTGATTGTCATCATTAGAGTTTGTGAAGAAGTTCTCTATAAGATTTATCAAGGCAGAATCTGAGAGGGCATTGGTCATTGATAGCTTGTGGTAAGAGTTGCCACCACCGATGATGCTTGTCGTCATAGTGATGAGAGGGCTGTCCTCATTATCCCTTGGTTGGAATCTTTCAGTTTGATAGAGGTTTATTGTTAACTTGTTGGAAGGGGGCCCTTCTGCATAGTTTGTAGGCTAAGATTATATAAGACATCACACAGCCTAGGTCACTATTAGAGAATCGTGACTAATATCTTCAAGAGATAATTATCAAGGTTAGCATTAGAGGTTAGACACTATCATGACGATGAGGATAAGGGTTATCCCATAATTCATTTATTGAGACCATGGAGAGTGTGATGTAGAGTAAGCCACTGTCTTGCAACGTCTGCAGCTTGAAATCTGAAGGATTGTCGTCACAATGTTGCTATAAGTTCAATTTTAACGTAACAACAAAGGAGGTTTGCAATGTTTGATTCAGATTACTCGGAAAGAACTTCTCAAAATTCGTTGGTCCGTAATTCTATGAGTGAAAATTCTGAAGAAGTTAGGTTGATCAGACTTTACAATCTTGATTACGAAACTATTAGATATTTAATATTAACATGATGCACGTGTGTTGAAGTTTTGACTTCTGGGAGTAACGGTTGATGCCTTCAGAGGGTCCTCTTGAAATGCATCAGTGCGGATTCTCAGGGAAAAGTTTTTGATAGATAGCAAATAGAGGTGATTGTTTAACATGTCACGCGTGTTGAATTCATCTTATCACTTTGTAGAATGATTTGAGTGCTAAAGGTTTAGTATGAACTTAGCAGTGTGAGTGCTCTAAGTTTGATAAGTGATTCTTATACTGATCACGGGCTGGTCAGAGTGAGCTTGAACTTGATAAGCTTATTTCTAATTGGGGGCCTCCCACTGCTTAGGAGTTATCTTTCTTAAGATATTTACCGTTGATTGACATCATCAGCATA